ATGGCAGTCACAATGGTCTCCAAGTGTCACATCAGAGTTACAAACAAGAAATATATACCTAAATGTATATAAAGTTGTAATGAATGAAGAATAGCAATGTATATGTATATAATGCAAACAATACCGTGTAATTCACTACTAGTTGTCATTGTAATAGTCTATGTATTGACTGTATGACTGGCAACGACTTGATTCAGCCGTCTATTCACCGATTTATAGCCGAATCCAATGGTATATATATATTGAGCACCTATTCATGTGGTGCACAAAAGCGTGACTCAATAGGTAGGCGTGCAATGCCTATGAGCTGTTGGACTGCAAACAACATGTGTGCACTCAGTAGACATCAATTGATACCTTCAATGCAATACAAATTCAATGGCTTTTCTCATTGGACTTCATATAAGATGTGATTTCTTGTTTGGCAATTGAAGACCATTTACTACAAAAACATGAGATTTTGTATGAATTTCTCAAGTTTTATGTCGAAAGATGTTTATGGAGAGTACAAGAGTAAGAGAGTGAGTGAGTGAGTGAGTGAGTGAGTGAGTGAGTGAGAGAGAGAGAGAGAGAGAGAGAGAGAGAGAGAGAGAGAGAGAGAAAGAAAGAGATGATTGAATGAGTTGGTGTGTGTGTGTTGGACTGTAAGGGCGGTAATGATAGTGGTGTTTGTGTGTGTGTGTGTGTGTGTGTGTGTGTGTGTGTGTGTGTGTGTGTGTGTGTGTAGTGTTATGAGTGCAATGAATGCGTGATTCAGAGTAATTGGCAAATGTTTTCAAAAAAATGTTTCTCTTTGCAAAAGTTGTGTTAATTTTGAATGAGAACTGCTATATAACACATATAATGGCTTCGAGACTATGGGTTTAAAAAAAGTTTACAAAAAAATAGTTAAAAATTGCTTGTTTTTCTCACCCAAATTAAATAGCATTGCGTGACCACTTTGTCTCAATCCTCAACTATAACAACAAATAAATAAAAGAAAATACATTTCTTTAGCAATTGTCCTCTCACTCTAAGTGTTGCAATCAGTGGCTATGATAGGCAACACTTATTATAATTCAATAGTCATAATAATAGTTAGTATGTGTTTTGGCGACACACGGGTTCGCATCCCAAACAATATCAATAATACAATGAATAGAGAGCTCATAACATCTCATGAGAACTACTCAGTGGTTATTTGCCCGGAGCTCACCATTCAGTCTTCAGTAGACATAAATAAACCTTTGAAACTGTAAAAAGTTGTGAACACAGCACGAAATATATATAAAAATTATCACAAATGAGAACTTCCTCTAATGTTATCCAGATGTTTATGTTTTCATTAAATGTCTCCACAATATCTCAAATGTCTTTCTCAAATACACGTATATATCAATATTTTATATAAAAAATCAATCGGAAATTTAATAATAAAAAAAATAAAAAAAAGCAATTAACAAAAAATGTATTTTAGTAAAATGTTAGAATTGGTAAATATATATAAATATATAAAATATATTAACAAAATAGAAATCTACAACTCTCTTTTTTTCTCTCTCTCTCTTTAAAAATACAATTAAATGTTTATTATATTTTTATGATTTAGTACAACCCATTTAAAACATAATAGTATTTTAAAAATTGGTGACCACTTGACAATCACTGTAATGTTTGCATTTTGTTTGCACAGGTGATAATGCTTTTACAAATGATAGACATACTTTTACACATCAACTAAACGTATATTCTTTGTCATATATATTTCTAGGAGTAATAAATAAATATTATATATAAATGTGTCCATACTTTAGTTTATGTTAACTGTAATATAAAATGTTGGTATTTAACAATTTTAGTAAATAAAAATAAATTATAAAAATATATTTACAAATGATTGAAGTGCACAGTAGGCCGTTCACAGGCCAAACACTATTTCTATTTAAAAACTTATAAAAATTTAAAGTCGAAAGTTTTGATATAAATATTGTTATGTATTTGTAAAATAACAACACTTACATAAAAACAGTAGAATAAGATTAAAGGACTATTGTGTATACATTAGGTGTATATAAGGTATATTTGATGCATAAATATTCTGCATTTTATCTATACGGTATAGACTATACCTGCATTTTACCTGTGATTTACTCATTTTAAACAATTAAAATGTTATCTATACATAAGCTCTCTCTCTCTCTCTCTCTCTCTCTCTCTCTCTCTCTCTCTCTCTCTCTCTCTCTCTCTCTCTCTCTCTCTCTCTCTCTCTCTCTCTCTCTCTCTCTCTCTCTCTCTCTCTCTCTCTCTCTCTCTCTCTCTCTCTATCAACAGAGTTATGCCTAATTTATAGTTAACTTTGTTTATGTGTTCACCAAAAACGATGAAAGAGATTTATTTTAAACGTTTTTTAAAGAAAACAAGAAAAATGTTAGTTTAGAAAACATGAGTTTAACAAAATGAAAGTTTACAAATTTGAATGAAATTGTGTTATTTTTTTGCGGTTATATCAGAAAAATAATATGTAATTTTGAAACCGGATATTAAGCTACTTTAATATGAGGTTTGGTTACCAAACATATATAAAAATGTGGTTATATTATAACAAATATATAGTACTTTATTTTCAAATATATTTTTGATATCGATATTTAGTTACTCGTATAATATAAATAGTTAGTATTAAATAGATTTTAGTGGTCTACTGATTGCTTGTTATATACCTTTAACTCATTGTGTATAACATTAGTTGAACACAAAGGTTTGGCTGGCAATTGAACAGTTAGAGAATGTGTGTTGTGTTCTGTATGTATGTATGTATGTATGTATGTACAGTATGTATGTGTGTGTGTGTGTGTGTGTGTGTGTGTGTGCAGAGGACATACAAAAATTGAGTATAAGCTAAACAAACGGTGCACTTAACTCATGTTGAAATTGAAACTTTACTCTCCTATTACTACTACAACTATTGCAGTCAATTCATTGAATGAACGCTAACTTTTAGCGAGACATGTGAGAGAAAGGACAGACCTTTTGCAGAAAGAAAGAAAGTGAGAGAAAGAGAGAAGAGAGAGAGAGAGAGAGAGAGAGAGAGAGAGAGAGAGAGAGAGAGAGAGAGAGAGAGAGACCTGCTTATAATAAACACATATTTGGTATATTTGTATGTATGTCCCGATATACAGTATATACAGTTTGTATGGGCTTTGATAATAGAGTCGATGTATAGATGTATTGAATAAAAGCCGGCAGTAAAGGGCCTGAAATGTGTTTACATAAAAATGCGAGAACAAGCAAAAAGATGTCTAATCAATGGCACTGTTATGTATACTATACTGTACTGTATGTGTGAATATGAAGTGTATTTTTATGTTCATATATTTAAAAAGGAAATACAATAATTGAAAAGCATTTTATTCATACGTTTTTCCATTGGAATTGGAATTGTGTGGAAAAACTCAAAAGAATTGATCCGTTATTGAGAGCCAACAGTTCTGTTGTGAACCCAAGTGCTGAGTCCTCACTCCCTGTACTGAGTCCTYACTCCCTGTACAGAGTCCTCACTCCCTGTACTGAGTCCTCACTCCCTGTACTGAGTCCTCACTCCCTGTGCTGAGCCCTTCTCTAAACGCTATAAAGTCATCACACAATTGACGAGTCAAGTGAAGTGGCTTTTTGTCAAAACAGCAAAATACTGAACAACTGAAGAACACTTTTTATTTTTGACTACATTTTAGTTTTTGTTAATAATTTTTATCATTACTTTCACTTATTTATATTCCCATAAACTAACCGGAAATTTACACTAAGAAAAAGTTTTTATACAAATTAATCACATTCTGAATATTAGTAGTGATATTTGAATTTTGACAATCAATCCGGTTTGTAATCATTTTATTTTTAATAAATGTTTACTACAAACTACTTGAGAACCACATCATTAACATTAATGAATGAATTTAATTTATATGTAAACTTAAATAATAAAATGCATTTATAATTTGAACCGTTTAATATATATATATATATATACATATGTATATATTTCATTTTTAGTGTATATGTGTTGAACGATATGCGATAACAATTGTCAAAATAAAAAATGTTTTTAAGGAATTACAGAAACAGTGTACGAATGATATGATATAAGATAATTAGTGTTTTCCTATGAATTTTGATTAAGGACTCAAACATTTTTTTCAAACATTTTTTTGTTAACTCTATTTGTTTGTACAAGTGTTCAAATTTCATGACACACACAACACCAATACATGACTCCCATTACATACTCTTTTGATTTAAACACAAAACTCTCTCTCTCTCTCTCTCTCTCTCTCTCTCTCTCTCTCTCTCTCTCTCTCATTCACTTCAATATGTGTTACTATTTATAGCATACATTATCCACACATATAACTCTTATAATGCTTAAAAACATTGTGAGAGAGTTTTTACTTATCAATACAGAAATTGCTATTAATGCAAAATGTTTTATTTTAAAAATTTATATTTGTGGGTAATTTCAAAATTTTAATGTTTGTTATCTTTATCTTATATTTATAATAATGTTTTAAATATTATTGTTATTATTATATAAATGTAAAGTCAATTTATTACTGCAATCTATGATTCATATCATTCAACAATTGATTATTAACTCAATTATATTATTAATAGAGTATTATGTAAAAAAGCGATAATAAAACTCAATTTCCTAAGTATCTAATGTTGAAAACATATAATTATTATATATACTGTATAGCATATGCTGTGTTATAGTTAGCATCAAATATAATGTTTAAAAAATAAAAAATGTTAAGAAATAATAAAAAAGTACTTCCATTACAATGTAATGAAGTGTATGTTTGTATGCGATTTCTGTTATACTATGGAAGCGGGCGGTGATCCTTAAGCTCAACGATTTTTTGAGCCAATAGTAGTGTCGGTATTATTATTGAGCAGCCATTGAGTTATAAGGGAACGACTGATGGAGAGTCTGGTACACACCAGAGCACTACAGTTGCATAATGTGAGGCACGGCCTGCGCTCAACCAGATTAAGCTTCGTATGGGATATGAGTCTTATTTTTAGTGTTCATTGTGTATATGTCTGTTCTGTATGTATTTGCTTCTCCATCACTGTCTACCCTCCGATACCATGAGTTTTTCAGTTCAGCCATTGCTTTCTCAAAGAAAATAACAAATTCTTGGCTCAAAAATAGTAAAGAAGTGGTATTTTTGTAACAAACAGTCACTGCATTAGTATAATGTCTTAGCATTGCTTCTGAACCGACTGTTGCTTACCTTAAGCCGCGAGGCTTTTAGATATTAATCAACAAAATATAAATATTCTTTAAGAAAAGTTTGTATATATTCTTGACTTTCAAATAATAATAAAAACAAAGACATTTCGAGTGATAATTTAGTTTTAAATCCGACAAAAGTGTGGACCGACTCTAATGATTGTGTTTTGATTTTAAAGATTCTTAAATTCTTAAGAGTCTTTTTATTGTTTTTATCTGATCCGTCAAAGAAGTATATTTTCGACCACATTTACACCACAATTAATGATTGTCACATAAATTATATTTGTGATGATTGTCGGACATATGAGTGATGTGTCTGCCATCCAGATCCCTGGATTGACAAGTGGACATCTATCAGGTCCACCCATCACCGCTGGTCTTACCTCAACTGGCTGTCCAAACCCACAATCACCGGCAATGATGCCATCATTTGGTTTCACCACAGAACAGGTCGCATGTGTTTGTGAAGTACTACAACAGTCGGGCAATATTGAAAGGTTGGCCCGATTTATTTGGTCATTACCCGAGTGTGACCAGGTTCAGAGGAATGAATCAGTACTTAAAGCTAGAGCACTGGTAGCTTTTCACAGGTAACCAAATTTGATGCTAAGATTTACATTAAAATAACACTAAACAGGCTTTTCTTTGCACATCTTGTTGTCGGCCTTGCGATCGACCCATACATATATATATATATATATATATATATATATATATATATATATATAATATATACAAACACTTGAATTCATTTACAATTTCAATGAAACTAAATATTCCTAATATATTATATATACATGTAATATATATTAAATATACTATATATATATATATATCTTATATTTCTGCTAATTTATAATGTTTTTATTATTAATAGCTCTTGTCTTAAAAGATTCATAACTTATTAATGCATTACAACAGCAATTGCCTGGAAATCGTCGCAAACTATTTTTCGGGCATTAATTTGCTGTTTGAGATCACGATTTAATTTATTTTTTATTTAACGCAAATAAGTAGTGAACAATGCATTCAATAGTTCATTGAATCAATTGAATAGCTTTTTTCAACAGTGATCATCATTTATTTTTATAATTTTCATTCAGTTAACTATTAAAAAATTAAATATGTATTAATGCTTTTTTGATCACTTTATTTAATGCGTGACTTTAATTCTCATAAGACAACTATGAAAATCTATTATTAAGATTTTACACTAACATAAAACTATACGTTATTTTATAGAGTGACTAATCTTATCTCTTGATTTTTATATCAATGAGATATGAGTTTTAAGTATTTTAAAGCATAGAAAAAGTCTGAAAAGAGTTTTTTGTAATCAAATTAATATCTCAATCGATGGCATTCAGCTGTAAATAATTACAACCGATTTATATAAACTTTGATTAAAGTTTATTAGCATTAGTTTTCTGACCATTTGATTAGTATTTTTATAAATATAATTTAACTTTATTTTTATATTTTATTTGCCTTTTTTGATACATAATGTTATGTTTGTAATGAATGTATAAATTTGAGTGTCTTTTTGAGCCACAATTTATGTTTTCAGATCCCAATTGATGTTTGACATCATTTTTAACCTTCAGATTAAAGCAATAAATTTCTTCTCTTTAAATTAAATTGACTTTATTTATGACATTTAATACAAATGTTTTCATTATTTTTTCTTATAGTTAAATATTTGCCACATTTCATTTCATTGAAGGAAAAAAATGAAACATTTTTACACACATATGAAAATTACATACACTTTTCACTTAAATTATATTTTGTGTTAATAAAAAAACAAAAAATTTTAGCTAAAATGATAATTTTTCAAATGACTATCAATTCTATTAAATAAGGAATAAATTATTCTCTAAACGACTAATCTTTAATTTATTTTATATATTTTTAGTTTTATTTTCTATTTTAAAACTATTTTAAAATCCATTTTGAACGTATAGATTACTTAACTAATTTAAATATTGACTATTAAAAATGATAAATAATGATTTTTATTCAATTTATCTAAAATTATGATGATGATTATTATTATAATTATAACGAAAGAAAACTGTTTAAAAAAATAGTTTTTATATAATTTTATGATTATTTCAAATCAATGAATTTATGAACAAAAATGATAATATATTACAGTTTATATAGTATTTGGCAATAAGTCATTTATATCAATGATTTCTGACACGAAAATAAGTAAAATAAATATATAGTAATATAAAAAAGCATCGATTTTGTATTGATTAGAAAAAAGCATTGAAGTTAAACTATACAAACATGTTTTTAATATTATCAATGAATTTACTATTAATTATTTGATATTTTTTAATAATGATACAAAGTAATACAATAATACTGAAAAAATTAAATTTAAACTAATTAAAAATAAGAGTATATAAATGTACATATAGTGTATCAAATAAAAAATTAGCAGATAATAAGCTTTTATATGATATTTACAATTTTAACTAAACATTACTTAAAATTTGATAGTTATTTATACACAATTCAAATGAATAACTACAATTAATTAATTTTCATTGATATATTTTATTATTAAATTAAATGTTACAAAATAATTTTCATTTTTAAAATAAAAATTTAGAGGTATTAAATAATATTGAATTTTAATTTAATTAATTTTTAATCAAACAATATTTTGTTATATAAACTTTAAAGTTGTAATTTAAGAATAATACAGATTATTTTACATTTTATAAGTAACACATGTATATGAAATATTAAATTAAATTAAAATAAAATATTTTTAGTATTATCGATAGCTGTATAATAATAATAATGATATATTATTAATATAGATTTAAAACATATTCATTAATATATAAATAATTAAATATAATAAAATATTAAAATTATAGAATTAGTATATTTTTAAAAGAAGATTAAACAAAAAAAGTTAATTCAAATTGTTTATCACAATTTATTTGTTTACCAGTAGCTATATTTGAAATTATCAAAATATTAAAAACTTATATCATAAAAATGCTATATTTCAAAATATAACAAAAATATATTTATAATACTGCATAATATAGCTATTTAGTTACAAATATGTCGATATATTATATATAAATTTTTATGTATATATATATATTTAATTTAAATAACATCTGTGTTTTTAAAAGCAATGAAAATCAATCACTTGTAACGAAAGGCTTGAATTAATTTAAACATAAACTCGTGATAATATGCTATATTGATTAATTTTTTTTGTAAACATTTAGCGATTATATTGCTTAAATTTATGCATTAAAACATATTTAACTAAAATTAAATAACAAAATAGCAAATAACTTGAAAAACCAATGATATATATCTAAATTTACAAAACATATATAGAGGGCAATATAAAGAACTGTACAGAATTCTGGAAAGTCATACGTTTAGTCCTTCATCTCATCCAAAATTACAAAACCTTTGGCTCAAAGCTCACTATATAGAAGCTGAAAGACTTCGCGGACGACCATTAGGTGCGGTCGGAAAGTACAGAATCCGACGGAAGTTTCCGTTGCCGCGCACCATATGGGACGGGGAAGAGACGTCCTATTGTTTTAAAGAAAAGTCCCGAAATGTTCTACGCGAGTGGTACGCTCACAATCCATATCCCAGTCCAAGAGAAAAGAGAGAACTGGCCGAAGGCACCGGACTTACCACTACTCAAGGTTTTTGATTTTGTCTATTATTAACTTTGATTTAAGATTTGAATTTCTATAATATTAATTGTTTTTTTAAATTTTATTATTATATTTTTTTTGTTTAGTAAGCAATTGGTTTAAAAACAGGTTTGTATTATATAATAAATTATTGTTACTTAAAATACAGTTACATTTATGTTTACACTTAATTTCATTTGTGTTATAAATAGGCGACAGCGAGATAGGGCGGCTGAAGCTAAAGATAGGTATGTAATGTTGAATACATTTGCAAATAGGGTTTGCACTTATTTGTTACGATATCTATATACGGAAAAATCTATGGTTTATTACAGAGATCCCAATGATAAGTCCAGCTCCGGGTCGGGTATGAAATCTGGTGCCAAAGGCCTTAACGATTCGTCCAATTCTGGCAATGATAGCGACGATTCATCTAATGAAGCGACTTCTCTGCGGACGAGCAGTGGTTCCGATCATATAATTCATAGCATGGCTTCTCATCCTTCAAACCCCAGCCATCAACAGCTAAACTCTGTGTCAGTTGTGAGTCAATCGGCAGCGACGGCCACCCAATCATCACTATATCATGGCTTTCGACTTAATCATCAGCACATAGCCGCTACCATACATCCTCATGGCCTCCATTCTCATCATTTGGCAGATGTGGCGCCGACAGGACTAGTCATGCACTCCGGCGGCTCATCGGCCGATACAATGCTTCATCTGAGTGCAGTGGCCGCCGCTTCCGGACTCGACTACGGGTCCTCTATTGTAGGCCATTCACAACTTTGAGAGACCAGTTATGTCTGAATATACATTCCAACAGTTAAGTTAGGATTTGAACAAACAGTAAATACCATGTATTATATCAATTAAATATATCCTAAACACACATATATATACATATATATATATATTAATTATTATTAGCCAATTGATATAAATATTATATAATTAAATGATAACAGCATATTATTTGTTAATAATATTATTATTATAATTATTGGTAATTAACTGTTTGGAAACAAATTTAAAATCAGAAATATGAAAGTCATTACATTATTAAAAACATTATTAGATATTTATTTATTTCAAATCTATGATTATAATGATAATAATTATTGTAATGAATTGAATAAGTTTTCCAACCTATATATAAATGACTCAATTTTTATCTGTGAATTAATTTTATGGTGATCTTTTGGTGATTTTAAATAATCCCCTCTTTTTGTGTAAATTTAATTGAATTATTGATATAAACCAAATAATTATGTAAACAAATACAATATAAACAATATATAACTTATATATTTAAAAAATGTCGTTTTATTATTTTATATAATAAGATATTTTGTTGGTATCAATAATGAAGGAAAAAAATTATTTGACGAGAAGTACGACTGCTATGAATCTCCTAAGTCTTGTGTTAATATATATTGAAAGTTATAAATAGTAATTGACTTAAATATAGCATCTGATGGCTGCTCATTGAAAGGAAAGGCATAGAAAGCTGACTGTAATGTTAAATGATGTCTACACTACTGGAAATACCAACATTTTATTTAAAAATTTTCTTAACTATACTATTATATATTTCACGTTTGTTTTACAAAACAAAATTGTTTGTATTTAATAGTAGTAATAGCAATGTAAAAAGCATTGTGATAGAAAAGCAGCACAAATTCATGTCAATATTGAAATTATAAATTACAATAATTTTAAATTGTTTGAAATACAAACAAAATTATAGAACCAATTGTTGGTTTATATGATAGTCGACTGACAAACTTGATTGACAAACGATCGGTTGTTAAGTATTGGAGTCACACTTTGGCTGAACCACTATCTTAACATATATTGATTATATATATAGAGCTACTGGAGCTGCACTTAACACGAGCGCTAACAGCTCCGGTAACCTGTAATCAGTGTGGCTTTTGAACATAAGACACCCCACAACCCATCGCAATATTATGTTTATTTATGCCATAACATCAAACATATAATTTAGACCTACTCTTAACTTTTTAATAACGGTCTTCATCTTTGGTGGTCATACCTTAATAGACAGCTAATTGTAGAGTCATCGCAGTTATTGCTACCCATCTCCAGGCGCTGTCGTATTCCGATCACAACATTCACAAAATACTTGTCTATACTTGTCTTGTTTACAAAATATGTGCTCAGAAAGAGAGAGAGAGAGAGAGAGAGAGAGAGAGAGAGACAGAGAGAGGTTGATTTATTTTGTATCAATACATTGAATATATAAACTTTTATGTTTGTCTGTACATAAAATAGGCTAATATAGCAATGAATTCTCTTATATTATTGAATACTATGAATTGATTGTAAAGAAACAGGCATTCATTGGCCGTAAGTTCACCACAATTGAGATGCTTTTATAAGATAACAAACTTTGAATATGTTATATGTTTTGCATCAAATGCTTCATCCATTGCTATCCAGTGTTATGCCGTCTACGGCCTCTCAGTTCCAGCTGTGCTACACTATATACGCTTATATTTTGCCGCAACAAAACTAAACTCAACTACAGTTTGCCTAAAAAAATGTCAAATATCTGTACATTGGGTGTACATATGCCGCGCTTATTAGGTGAGAGATATTGTAATCCGGTATATATAAGATAATTTCACTGACAATAAAAAGATTTCTTCAATTTCCATGTGTACTATGTTTGAAGCAAACGAGCTCTGGTAGTGATGGTTATCACAGATACTCTCAACAGTGCTCTCATAAAAGGTTACTCTTTCCACAGCTCACACACACACACACACACACACACACACACACACACACACACACACACACACACACACACACATACATACATACACACAATATATATAACTCTCTTTCCATTCTCTGATTGAACTGATAATGAATTTGTAGGCATTTAAAGCTTATGGCTTTTTTGGGGCTAAACTCTCGTTCACGGCTAAAGAGCACCCGTTTTATGAGAAACAGCTGTAATTGTCCAGACAGTCACTGCCAACACCATAACAGTTAAGAGAGAAATTTATAAACAAAATATTAAAAATTGAACAAAAAAATGCTTGAATTTGTAATTAGTTTGCGATAAGAAAACTGCTAACGAAATGGCATTTATCTATACTTAACAATCTGTAATGTAATTTGAACTTTTCATTATTTATTTCATATATAATATATTTATATGAATATACTGTATCTATGAATTATGGACTTAACAAATATTTTAGACAGCGTCGAAAAAGTCGCTCAGAAAAAATATATAATAAATTATTATTATTATTGCTATTATCATACAAACATTCAACTGTGCTTTTATGTTCAAAATATATTTATTTTATTTTTTGTTAAAAAGCAATTTATAAATATATATATATAGGTTTGTTTGATTTGTGTTTATTAAATAGTGTATCAAAAACTGGAATTTTTTGTTGTTTGGTATTTTGTAGACTTGAATTGATATTATAAAAATTAAACAAAAACAAAACAATTTTGTTGGTATTTTAGAAAAAGATTAGTTCATAAATTCATGGCTGGGATTGCAATTGAAGGCATAACTGGTGTGTGATGTGCCATATCTAAAGCATTAGTCTTTTTGGCTCTCAAACCAACATTAGTCGAGAGTTCAGCTAAAAGTGTGTTTCATGTCTTGAGTTCCCATTTCTTTCACTTTTTGCAATGCTATCCCTTCTGGGATTACAGAAGCAACTCAACCAATACATGGATGAAACCAAACACCAGAGCATCCGTTTTGCAGTACAAACTCACAGTCACTCTTTGATATTCAGTCACACAATTCACATACACTCACAGCAACCCCTGAACCCCATATTTACATGAAATGCCAATTCACTACTCCTTAGTCTTACAGTCCACATATCTTTGCCAAAATCTCTCTCTCTCTCTCTCTCTCTCTCTCTCTCTCTCTCTCTCTCTCTCTCTCTCTCTCACTCACTCACTCACTCACACACACACACGTCTCACTCAAATAGACTGTCTCTCCCTTCTCTCTGAACTCGACTTTACATTTTGGCAAACATTTCATATGACAACACATGAGACACTCAGCGGATCCATTAATAAACCAATTTCTAACATTTGTTTAGATTTATAACTTTATGTACAAATTTAGATTATATTTTATTTATTTAATATCATATTTATTAAATATGTCACATTGAATACAAATTTCAAATATATTGTCATCAAATACATTGTCAAAAAACAAATATTGTTAATTTTCTTGTTGTTAAATAAAATGTTTATATATATATATAATTTTTTAAAATTAATTTTTATTATATTAAAAGTAGATGATAGTTATTATTAAAAAATTTTAATTAATTATTTTATAAACATAATAAGATTTATGCAAATGAGAATTTTAAATATAATAATAATATTTATAATATCATTATTAATAATAAACATGAAATTACTCTTTGCTTACATTATATGACAATATAATTAATATTACAGTTACAGTAAAGTTATTAAGTAAAAGTTATTAATTTAAAATGAGATCCAATACTGTATTATTTTACTATTATATAGTTTCTATTCACATACTATCAAATCTCGCTTTAAAAATTTAATACTTTATAGTTTTCAGATTTTTAATAATAATATTTCTAACTTTTCAAATTGTTTATTGTTTTAAATATAGTTTTAACTAATATTTTTAAAAATATAATTGACTCAATCAATTTGGTCAGATTGTGTTAAACCATTAACAGCTTGACTGCAATAATAGGGTGCGTGTGTTTAAAAGTAAAACATACATTTGTTTAGCTATTACTACTATAACTGTCAAATAAATAAGTATTAAGTTAATGTATATTCATAAAATAAATTATTAGATGTAAAATAAATTTTTAAAAATTATAATACTGTCTATTTTGTCCTCAATTTTAAAAATCATTTGTTAAAAATCTGTTTTTTGTGTAACTATTGTTTATTTCGTCATTAATATTGCTCAGAAAGATTACTCTCAATAAGTTATATCAATATAAAAGTTATACTAAATGGACATTTATTTTTCAACAATTACCTAATAAAAAAGATCACTAAAAGATATAAGCTATAATATAAATGGTTTATTTTTTATAACTAAATTAATACACGTAGTTATTATATAAATTGATATAAAATCCATAGATTGTAATTTATAAATTAAATTAAATTTTCTTTGAAAATTATAGCTAAATAAATATTGACAGTAAGTAATTGAATTAATTTAACTACATTTATACTCTAATTGATAATGTTTTACGATTAAAAAAAAATTTGTATATTTGTTTATAAACACGTGTCAAATATTAACAATGCAGTCGTCAATGAATGTGTATCTAAATTGAGTGTTTAAATCACGATTTTATCAATAACAACAAAAAAACTATAAAAAATAAGTTCAATTTAAACTATAATAGTATTTGCATCAAATAATACTAATTAATAATTTATAAAAAAAATATTTATGTAAAATAGTAATATTGTAGCATTTTTAAAATTATAACAATGATTACAATTACAATAATTTTAATTGTAGTTTAATTTATTTACATTAATATATTGATTCATGAGCAAATTTAAATCTCCTAATATTAAAATTATTATTATTATTATTTTACTGTAGAAGTGATGGCATATTAACCATTAATTTTTGTCACACGTTTTAACTGATTTGGCATTCATTGTGCATTAAATGCATTTAAAAATAAGTTAATTATAATAAATATATATTTTCTGCAATGAATCTAAAGGTTAATCACAGACTTGTGTTTGATCTTAAGGTTAAATAACGTATTGAATGTATTTTTTTCTTGGGCTAAACTTTACATTTAAAAATGTTTTCAAATCATTATTAATGATTTTGAAG